GTTGTTTTTTTTCTTAAAATAAGAAAGTGATTTTTTGCTGTGCAGACATTCATCCAGGGAAAGCGAGCTATAGCCAAGTTACCTGGATGGCTCGCCTCTATATTAGCAGCCCCTTAATTACACGTGTTTTAGGCTGACTGATAGCCGATAGGAGGGCTACCATAGCAAGCACATGCCATACACTGGGTAATATTAGATGGGCTATTGCAATGCTGTCAAATGTGACTGCATTTCAAACGGATCACATCTAGGCTATATATTAAAGTATACATGTTTAACACGAAATACAACATACATGTATATCACACAAATAAAGCCCCGTTTACACGAGAAAATTTTATTTGACAAATTTCATATATCAGAGATATTTTGCTCGTGTAGATGATAAACAAATTTATTGTGACAAATGCATTTGAACAACAAATGCTTTTGATGAAATGAAATTTGTCAAATAAAATTTGCTCGTGCAAACGGGGCTAACAACACACATAAGTAGAGACTGTACATTAAACTTATGGACTTCTGCTAATACAAATTAATCGAATATTAAAACTGAACGTCTAGATCGGCAAATCGGAGGCGAAGCGACTAAAATACAGGCCTTCGTCTTCGATTTAAAAATATAACTATACAGTATATCAAGTAACTTTCCGCACACAAATAAGTAAATACACAATAAACACACCTTGGAAAACAAATTCCATGTATCTTATTAGGTCTTTGGAACTTTATATGTAGAAAATTTGAATAAATATCTTTCCCTGTTGAATGTTTGCTCCCAAAGGATTGAACTTGGCGCTTGGTCTTTGTGTGAAACAGATCGAATTACTACAACACGTGATGTATTCTAAGCATGATAATTGGTTAAAACTCTGCAACTTCCACTTGTCACAAATTATATTCAGCAGAATTCAGCAGCAGAAAATTGCACACGTTCAAATTACAGATTTAGGCCAGAAAATAAAAAACATAGATGACTCGCCGACAATTTCTGGCTACATTCGATCGCCGCGTGCGATTGAAGCCGATATACGGTATAATACATCAATGGCATCAATCTGACTTGGCAACATTCGAGTAACCAAAAACGTAACATTAAAAAAAAAGACTTTATATCTCGAACTTCGTGCTTTTCGCATCTGACTGTATTGCCTCCAGCAGAAAAACTCTTGGATTCTAAGGCACATTAATTATATATTGTAATAATTTACTCCAGATCCAGAACAATTTTACTCTTTTTTGGGAGTTGAAACGACCCCTGGAGTAAAATTAAGGAGTATAAATTACTCCATAATTTCTACTCCTAAAAGCGAGTTTAGTTTACTCCTCCAGCGGAGTTAAATTGACTCCTGATGGAGTAAATTTTAGAATGCGCGCCGAAGTGGAGTAGTTTTAACTCTATTTTGGGAGTAGATTTTACTCCACAATTTTTACTCTCCCGAGTTGAGTAGTTTTAACTCCTATGGTGGAGTTAAAATAACTCCTTGAAATTAACAGTGTGGCCATATATGTGGCCTTTAAGTTTTAACGTCAATTACGCGGTGAGGTTTTAATTAAGCTACAGTTTTAAAATGACTGCAAATTCGAGCAAAGCGTCTTGTTGTCTACTGTATTGTTAAATTATCATACAATTTGATTCTGCACATCCGAATAATTGGCCATCTATGTGGCCTTTTAACTGCAATTACACGCACAATTAAAATGACCGCCACTGGCATTGAGTTTGAAGTCTGGCGCACATGCACCAGAGTTTCCTGCTTAGCAAAACTGTCATTCGTGGCAGCGTGCTTAAGCAGGAATCTCTAGTGTGCGGTGAACGTTTTCGAGTTTTGTGTCACTTGTGACTCATTCGTCGCGCAAATATTCAACATGTTTAATTAATATGTTTTTCCATTATGATCTTGTAATAACTCAGCAAAGCGCGCGTGCGTATCAGCGACAGTAAACGAAAACAAAATGGCGGAGCAAAGTACGCGATATATGGCCTGATTATATCTGTTAACTAATCAACCTAACGGTAACTAATCAACCTAACTATTACTAAATGTACAGTATATACAAATTATAAGGGTTGCTTTGCATTTGGTTAGTAACTGACACCGGTTAGTATAGTAACTCACTTCGCCCCGCCATTTTGTTTTTGTTTAGTGTTTTTCTGTACAGTCGCTGATACGCCGCATGCATGCGCTTTGCTGAGTTTTTATAAGCTTGCTTCGCTTTCAGCGCACATACAGAGGAGATCGTCATTCATGGTAAAAAATATATGTTGAATATTTGTAGTGCGACGAGTCACGAGTGAGTCAAAATATTGAATCAAATTGATGAGCATGATTCTATAAAGCTTCCTCATTTTTTTTAGTAAAAATCGGTTTGAAAGTTACTTAATTTAAAAACAAGAGTAAATAATTTGCTTATAAATCTGAGTGATTTTACTCATACGTTATTTTACTAAAGTTTGTGAATCAAAATACCTCAAATACTAGCAGAGGATTCCATTATTTGGCACACATAAATCAATTAATATTTGCGTACTGAGATTTCTTAGATCTCTTTGCTTTCTTTTAACTGAGTTGACATCATTAAATATTTGGCTAACGTCCCAAATATTCTGCTTGTCGCAACACGAATATTATAACGATATAGAGGTCAGCCAGAGGTTATTACCCACCCACATTTTTCTCATTCTGTTATATGATTCTATAACGCTTGTGCTTTAACCGAGCTGAAACAATATGTAAACTTGATACTCTCAAAATTAGCCCAGTATTCAATTACCAGTAAAAAACGTCTAAAGTATTTAGTTTATCTGCACCGCTGCTCGCGCTTGTATACTTTTGCATTTTTTATTTTCTTCATACAAAATATAGAATGATTACGCAGGGATTATTTTAAAGAAATTTTATCACTATACACACAAAAAAATCCAAAATATAGCAGCATGTCACACATCGAAGGACTGAAGGAGAGCCGAGTAGCGTTGAGTACGTATACAGCTCTCTAGATTACAAGTTATTCAGTGGCTGTACTGGGAAATCCAAAACAGGAAAAATTTACGAATTTGTAAATGGGAACGTACCTAAGAAAAGGGACCCGACTAGGTGATGGGGAATGGGAATTGCAAAAGACAGAACTTTTCGTGGGACTTGGGGGTCCTTGTCCACAACATTTTCGTACTTTTTAGCCTCTAGAGGTTGATTTCTTGCATTTTCCGACACAATTTTTCATACATTCCATCCCGTGAAAGATTGAATATTAGGTAGGCCATATAAAATTCAATATAAAATTTGAAAACATTATTTAATAAGTGAAAACCAGCATAACTTATTCTCTTCTTTGTGCTTCTCATTGTCTTCTTTGTACTCGCAGCTTTCGCCGGGTTTAGGTTCTATAGGCATAGACGGCTGACTGCATGGTAAGTGTCTGTCCATTGGCCATTGCCCTGGCACTTAGAGTGCAGTCAGCCGTCTAACTTATTATGCATTGCGGCCTCTTTGAATCGGATAGCCTCTTTTTAAAAGATGGCGATGGAGGCGTAACTCGCAAGTTTGTGATATTGCTTGAATACCCCACAAGTTGTCAACTGCCGTCCATTTCTAGTGTTTTATCTATTGTATCTTGTCGAAAAGATGCTGAATTATGAGAGAATGACAATTGATTCCAAGCGCCATGTTTTTCTTGACACTCTCACAATCTTAGACATAATCTTGAACTATATCTTGTGCCAGTGTAAATTATAGTGCCAATAATGTAAACAAACTTCCGTTGCATGGTGGGGATGCAACTACCTTTTTTCCTTTTTTTTCCTTTTTTTTTCCTTTTTTTCCTTTTTTTTCAAAGGAGAATTTTAATGAGAAAATGAGGATAGGAATGGGAGAATTTTAACGTTTCGAGCGAATGCCGTCTTTGTTCATGCAGTACTCCAGATGATCGGGCCTTCGCTCGAAGCATCGAAATTCTCCTTATATTTTTTAGGTAGTTACATGCCTATTAGTTGATTGAGATTACCATTTCCAGCTCTATACAAAATTCGCATACCCCTTATGATAAATTCATTGTTGACTCGTGTTGCGCTTCTTCAATGTTGAGCTTGTGCACATTATTTAACTTTGCAATATTGGCTGGAACGGTCTCAATTAGGGTTATAGTTCAAGTTTGTAGTTCTATAGTAATCGCCGCATGAGAACGTTGTCATGTCTTTGTCACAATTTCATCATTGTTTCCTACCTGTATCATGTCGTTATCATGCAGTCGCAATTTAGGCATGAGTATTTGCGCCCAAAGGCAATGTCGCTTTATTTGATTTTCTATATGTCGCCATTTCAAGTCTTTCAACGCAAGGACGCCTTATACTTTCAAAAAGCTGGTTATATAGGGTAAGGTTGTCGTTGTTGTTGGGGACATGGTCAAAGAGAATGTCGTTGGTACTAGCTTTCTATAATTAAGTAGTTGAACAATTGAACCAAGTTCGTTTGAAAAACGGATCCATAACAATACCAATACTTCGGAGATTTATACCTGGTGAAACTGGCCGATATAGCAATATTCCATACGATAAAAGAATTCAATTGATTACGGAAACGAACAGTACTATTTAATGCAGTGCATAATAGCCTACAAGGTTTAGGTTAATTTTTATGTATGTCTTTTTTTAGCTGGGAAGAGTTCAATGACCAGTGTTTTTAATTAATCGTTTCATCGAGTGTAGAAAGCCAAACATATAAAACAATTTGTAGAATTGAACATGAAATTGAGCAAAGATTTCTTGGTTACAACAGAAAACATTTGAAAAGGTTGATCTCAGAGCAGATTTTATCTAAATAAGCTCAACCAAGTAAATCACCCGTTCATTCTTTTTAACATATGTTTGGTATTCTATGTGTACCAGTATTGGTAACTCTGTTTGGATATTAAAAGTAAGTTTGTTTGCTTCAGGTATTAACACGGTACCACCCCAACCCCCGGCTGCTATGTCAATATTATAACCTATTTTTATCATCTAGGGATTTCCCTGAGACAAACAGGAACAAGGAAGTTAAACAGTATACATACGTTACTAAGTACCTGCCCGTCGAATATATCTCGCAGTATATTACAGACATTCGTGGGTGACACTGGTAATCTCGTAAACCTTAGATCAAGCATCAATAAGAGATTGACTGCGGGTATGTTGCATTTTCTTACCAATACGTATAATAAATCTATGGTAGGCTGATGTTGCCGATATATTTATTGTTCGCCAAACCGGAAGTTGGTTTATTACATCTGGTGTCGGTATAACTGAACGATTTCGCGTTTTAACAAACATAACCGATACTTCTAACTGTATTACGTTTTGCGTATGATATAATAGGGCTTTCAGCTTGTTGAAATGGCTATAAGTTGCTCACATCTTTGCATTCGTGTAAAAGTAATATATTATATGCATCAGTGGAGAGTTTATAAGCCTCTCAATAGTATGTATTCTTAAACAAATTTGAAGCGGAGTCCGTAGTACTACAACTAGTCAATGACATGAGGTCACTAAAGCATCTTGAACGACTTAATTTACCGTCGTTGGGAGACGGGGACATTATGGTATAAGCCCTAATCAAACGACGATAAGAGTTTACTGACACTCTCGTGCACTCGAGTTGAGTTGAGTTGAGTTGGATCAAATTTCGACGAGAGGCGATGTTGTTGGAATTTTGACAAGAGGTATTAATGTTTCCTAAAGCCTGGTTTCCATATGGTCGTAATGATCGCAAAAATAGAGTTACGATCTTTTTCAACGGCCAGTTTGTAATAGTTTATACCTGTAAACCACATATAAATCATAAATATACTCTAGTTATAATCACTCCGCGTATATTCAGTTCTAAAATGCTGTATTTTGACTGATGGGAAAGATCGTGACTCAATCTTTACGACCATTACGAGTTACGACCATATGGAAACCAGACTTAAGTAACAGTTTATATCCATTTATACCCTCGAACAAGTCTTGGTTTCGTTTGACCAGGAGGGGAGACTATACTTTATATGCAAGCTTTCGCTTATCGACTCTGATAAATTGTCAGTCATCCTTGTTGAATGAAAACCGCGGGTCAAACGAACAAGATGAGAGTGTTTGAGAATTGACAGTCACCCGAGCTTGATTTAAAATACTTGCCCAATACTTTTATGCATGTTTGTATTCTATTTAAGCCCAAACAAAGTTGGAAGACTGATCAAACCTTTATTTTGTTAATATAGCCGCTTAAAATAATAAAATGTTCCCCTTTAACAGTATTTTAACAGTGCGTGGCTGGCAACTCTCACAACTCTCATGAACACTTATCGCTCTTATACCACTAGTCGAGGAATTCAAAAAATTGTGAACGAGATAAATTATCTGTATAAATTACCAGAACAGATGAGATATCGATATTATAAGTAATTTATTTGACTATGTATGAATTAACGACAGCGTAAGAAAATCAGCTTGACTTTATCAAATGCTTCAAAATATATATATGGACATGCACAATTATATAATACTCAGCCATTGAAATATATCATGATGTCTTTGTATGCAAAGTAGGTCAAAGTTATGCATGAAAGTTTGCATGAGCTTGGCCGCATTGAAATTTGAAATAGTTCTCTTATAGAGAGATTGCCCAAGAAGGCTTATAGCCATAGGTAAATCCTATTACTTGAAGGATTTGTAACGGAAACGCATGAGGAAACTGATTCTTGATTGTTAAACAGCACGAGTCTGTTCCCTCGGAAAAACTTTGGCCACATGGCTGCCTTGGCTATCAATATATGGTACCTTGGCTAAACATGGCTACTTGGCTCATGCTGCAATAAAATACCGTCTGGAACCAACAAGGAAGCTTTAGATTGGCCTGGAATTTTCTGGCCAGTTTTACACGTCAATTTCCGTCGAATTTAATTTGATACATTTAATGCTTCTGGATATAGATTTTACTGTCAATTTCTCGATCTCGAAACCCGCGTCGAATGCTTCGTTCATGCACTTGACGTGTTGCCCCCAATTTATTCTAAAACGTGTATTGGTCTCGAATAAAAAAAACCCAGCTGCTTTAAATTCAACTCGAAATTTAATGACTTAAATTCAACTCGAAATTAAATGAGGTCTATATGTCTATGATTGCGCTAATAACAGTATACGTGGGCTTACCTTCTAAGAATGCGTGTTTGACACTCGTTATATATCTTGAAACGTCGTTTCCGGACAAAGGCGCTTTAGCGGTTCAGGGTTAGTGGGATACTGGGATAGTGGGATACTGATATATATATATATATATATATATATATATATATATATATATATATATATATATATATATATATATATATATATATATATATATATATATATATATATATATATATATATATATATATATATATATATAAAATTTGGTTTTGTTGGTTATAATAACTTTTGGCAAAGTGCTCAATGGAAAACCAGAGCATATTTAAATTAAGGTACAACAAATCAACAAAATCCACTAGGCATCTTTATTACTAAATAGTTTCGTACCACAGTATGTGGCACTCTTTAGGTCAATTTATCTGAAGAGTGCCACATACTGTGGTACGAAACTATTTAGTAATAAAGATGCCTAGTGGATTTTGTTGATTTGTTGTACCTTAATTTATATATATATATATATATATATATATATATATATATATATATATATATATATATATATATATATATATATATATATATATATATATATATATATATATATATATATATATATATATAAACTTGAATAAAGACAAACTTTAAATGTTAAAGCCTAGACACTTCAATTTAAGTGCTCATATTTAAGTTGCGCCTATTTCCAAGTGATAAACTGATATTGGTTTAATTGTTTTGCTCAAAAACTTCTTGACTGAGACTGAGCTTATTATTCTAAAAGGCAATAATAAATTAAAATCACATATATTAGGCCCTATTATCTATATCATAGTATCGATATTCATAATATTGGCAATGTTATATAGTTTCGTTTCCTTGTCGAAAGCAGACAGTAGTTTGTTAATTATATCAAACAATGGGGGACTATGCTCATGGAGCCAAAAGTTCATCATGCGTAACTAATTTGTTGCTGACTAGAAGAAAGGCCTTTGGTTTTATTAGACAAAGCCAATTTATCAAAGTCATTGGCGAGCAAATAAATTTCACAAAAACACAATTTACATTGCGAGTTGTCGCTGCATGGCTTTCCCAATTTCCATGCATGCATATATGGCCGTAAAAACAGAGTCACGATCTTTCTCAACGGCCAGTTTATAATATTCCCTAGTTATAATTACTCCGCGTAATTTCAGTTCTAAAATATTGTATTTCGGCTGATGAGAAAGATTGTGACTCAATCTTTACGACCGTTATACGACATATATGGGAACCAAAGACAAAGTGTTTGTGGTCTTTGATCATTGAAAAACACGGCAAGCCATATAGCAAGACGATAAACTGACTTAGGTGCCTACTTAGCTTTTCCGAGAATCCAATTAATTCCTTCGGTGGGGAGGTTGAACTTGCCCTAGTTGAACGACGGGTACCTTGCTGAACAAAATTTAAACTGTAACTGTATATAGGAACATATGAATTCGTTGAGAAAACAAATAAACAGATGCAACTAAACGTTTAACTTTAAGTTTTTTATTGTAACTATTAAAAAAAGGCCTATATAAGTGTTTTTCAGCGCATGACGTCATTATATAAGAAAGGTCGATCGGTCATGCAGCGATCGAGACCGCAATAAGTCACGTATCTCAGTCCTATAAAATCACGTCCATTTCAAAGTTTGGGAACTCTGGAACTGAGATACCAGCAGAAAACTAATTTAAAAAGTTTAAGGGTATCAGTTAAAGGGGCAATGTCACCGATTTTTGAGCAATTGCAACCCTCGCAAATTTTGCCCAAAACTGAAAAAGAGTATAAGCGCAAAATAAAGCAATAACAGACACAAAAAACATGTACAGAAATCTGGATGGGCAAGATTACGCCAGTATTATTGACATAGATTGTAAATTGCATCTTGATTAATTGTTGGCAGATACTTTTCAAGTTTTAGTCAATTTTTATGAAAATGCCATATTACATGTTACATGTTGCGTGGAAGTTCAAAGTTGTTTAATGTGACTCATATATCATAACTTAATCCATTTACAATGTTTATTTTTAACTTTGTAGTTCAGTTTTTGAATAAAAGGCATTTTAGGTAATTAGGTCACTGAAATCGGTGACATTTCCCCTTTAAATGTATATATGTGGTTAATACGTGGGCAGGTGGCCTGAGAAAGGAACGAAACCTGATATAAAATTATCCTTGTTGTGTGGGGAACGGATACAGTCAATAAACCAGGAGGGTCGGAGTATGAAACCTCTGGCTTTTTAGGTTATTAAATATTTACATTTCTTACAACATGTAGTTATAAAAACACGCGTGGGAGTTTGGCAGAACGAAGTATAATCAGTGGGAAAATGAGCCTGAAGGGCGATTTTTTCCACGTAAAAGTATTTTTAATTAGCGGACACACACCTAATTGTCCTTAAAATAAATAAAATATATCTGGAAAACCTGGATGCATGCTTATATATACAGGGTATTCTGTTTTGTGTGAAACCATGCAGTCTGGCTAGCTGTGAAAACGCTATAGCGAACCGGGAGACTTAGTGAAATTTCGATGCTCTAGAATGCCAGGAACGATCAGTCTCAACAAAGTCATTATAATTTATTTGTTCATTGTGTAATATATATTTATAAACGCACGCGACAGCATATGCGAAAACTGCATATACAAGTTCGTACGGTTTCATGCGTCCTGTGTAAACGCGGCATAGCGAAACCGGACCATTTTGACACGGTTTCGAATTCATCCGGCCCCGTGAAAGACAAATAAGAAGAAGTATTGTTTCGAGTGCAATTGGGAAAAAAACATGCATGAGTGCGTTTTTCAAAGAGTATCAAAATTGCACGACCGAGTCGAGGGACGAGTGCAATTTGAAGTCTTTGCAAAATTCACGAGTGTAAGTTCTTTCAAATTGCACGAGAAACCGTACTATTATACTTATTAATGATATGCATGAAGAAATTATGCACTCACGTGCGTATTGAAATTAAGAAAATTAAAAATGAAAAATAAAAAATTAAGAAAAATTAGAAAATTAAGAAATTTGCACTCAGTGTATATATTTCTTTTTTGGCACTGTATTTCAAAAAAATTCCATTGTTCTTAGCCAATCAACACTGAAAAATTTTTTCATGTATATTATTAAGGCAATTAAAAATTCGATACTGTTCGATCCTTGATAATTTTCGTATCGTTGCAGTGTTTTTCCTATAGCCTACGGACTTACTGCCGGGCGACAGGAGGAATGTAACGTGGAGCTTCCCAGTGTAGTAAACACGTCTCCACTACATGACCCTGCATTTTCACTTTTATATGACAAATTTTAAATTTACCCTCCCATATAGATTAATTATCCGGGATGATGAAGTGGAATTTTACGATGGTGATGTTCACTCTATTGGTGGTTGCTCTTTGGTGTGGAGTGGTCACAAATGCACAGGACAAAGGTAATAAAAAATGCTCAATTTGGAGAGAAAATGGTTTCGAGTGCAGTTTGCATGAAACATGTACGTCCAGTAGATGTTCCCGCAAAAATCCATAAAAATTGTGGATCCATGTAAGATTCTTTACTCTTGCAAACCGCACGACAATTTTCGTCATTTTGAAGAAATTGAATTTTCGACCAGGACTCAATTTTTAATTTTACAGTCGTGCTACTGCATGTCTTTTTTTCCCAGAAACTGGTTCAAATTCGATTGATTTATACGATTAACGCAGATTTATATGATTATCGCAGAAATGTGCACTGTTGTTTGAGGTACACTGCACTTGAAACAGTCATCACTGTCGAGCAGTAGCTTATAATTGTTCGCATATTTGAATCTGTGGTGTCAATGATAATTTGTTTATTCCAACACAATCATCAGGTTCTAATATTTCGCAGTTTGGGGATGTTTTTTAGGCAAAAATGGCCCAAAATATATCATTCGAAAGCTCTTTTCTTCTATTTTTTGTTTGTTTACATTTTGTAATCCTTTTAGTATGTTTACATTTTGTAATCCTTTTTGTAATCCTTTTAGTTATATTTAGAATAAGAAATTTCGGGGATTGAAAGAAGGGTGATAAGGGGCATATACGATTTGAACTGAGGTTTCAACTAAAGCATTTTATAGCTGTTGTACGTTTATGAAAAGACTGCGAACAACAGTTTTATGCTCCTTGAAAAACCCATTCGCGATATTTTTCTTTAGAATGCACTCGAAACCGCTTTGTTAAAAGGACTAAAATTATGAAAAAAGACTCCAGGGGTAAAATTTGAGTTGTCCAAAAGCAAAAAGAGAGAAAAATTTCTTTACTGAGCTCGCCATGCTAAAGTTTCAGCCAACGTTGTGCATGCAATTTCCAGTCATGTTTAACAAAGAAATTTTTCTTTTATAGGATCCTTGAAAGGAAACACTAAGACTACTATTGTTCCGACACCCAGTATTGCTGTGGGTAATACGAATTTACCTAGAACAACGTCGTTATCACATTTTGCAGGAAGCCAAACTACTCTCTCACATCATTCAACTATAACAGGTAGTAAAAACCGTCTTTAATACCTTTCTTTTGCCGTTGTCACTAAACGTTCATCATTATGTTTTGTCGTTGTTGCTAAACATTTGTCATTTTGTTTTCCCGATCATAAATGAACTAAATGCATGGGGTCATCTCACTCGTCTGATAAATTGATATTTAAGGACGTTGTACATGGAATTTCGAATGTAATTTTAAATTTATTACTTAGCTATGCATGGTATAATTTTGCATGTGTCAGTCATTAGACAGAATTTCGTTGGTCTTTCTCAAAGTCGATATAGACTGACATACAATGCAGTAAGGTCTTTGAGAATACAGAGCTATACAAGTTGATTGTATAAAAAGAAATGAGTCCATGAATCTTTTTGAATACTAGATCTTATAAAACTATTTTAGTTCTATTTTAAAGCTTCGAACAAAGCATTTAGAAGATTTAGTGGAACGCATCATTTTTGATGCCCTTAATAACATTTATGCAATTTTACTTTGTTATTTCATAGTCGCGTTTGTAATTGTTGAATTTTTTTGCATAAATTTTAATGATTTTTTAAAAACAATTTAGCTACAAGATTTTCGGTTGTTTTATTCATCTCATATACTTCTGAATCTTTTACAAAAATAATCATAACACAACATCAGTTTTGGAAGGCTGAATGACTATAAGGTTTAGAATTAATGTAAACATAAACAGTTGTTTTAGTGCTCATTTTGAAGTTTACCTTCGAATCGAGCAATCTGTTCTTTTCTGATACATCGTGTAGGGTACCTTAAAATATGATGATCAATACGCGCTGTGTATATGCATTCTATAGTGCACGGTGCTAGTTTTTTTTTTTGCCTCTTTACTTTTTCAGCAACAAGAACAATTGGTAATTCAAGTATGTCAGTAAATGCGACAACAGTATTGCCTCCATCACACGGTATTGTACTCTTTATAAATTTTAATGTGTCTAACGATTTTACTCGTCAAAGGGTATTATCGTCGGTTACTGGGGGGGGGGGGTTGTTCAAATAACCAGTCCGCCTGCTCTTGTCTACGAGCCAATGTTCCCTATTTATTCATCCGACGCTGGACAATTTTACTCTTTAAAGGGTAATTGTTGGTCGTTGATGAACTAACCGGCATGCAAAATTGCATGCTCATTTCCAGGGATGGATCCAGCGAGATCTGCATGGAGGTAGCGGGTTGCTTGTCTGATTTTAGTCTGCATGGGTTCGAATGTTGCCAAGTGCGTAATCACTAAAGGACGCTATGGCATCAAGGCACTTTCAGACTCTTTCTCAAAGAATGTCTTTGGTTATAACTGAAGATTCAATATAGTATGTCATTCCATTCGTGTATGAGATTCATTCTTACCTAAGATGAAAAGGGGAATGTATTGCACCACTGGAAGCAATGCGACTGTTGTTGGGTGCGTAATCACTAAAGGACGCTATGGCATCAAGGCACTTTCAGACTCTTTCTCAAAGAATGTCTTTGGTTATAACTGAAGATTCAATATAGTATGTCATTCCATTCGTGTATGAGATTCATTCTTACCTAAGATGAAAAGGGGAATGTAAATGTATGTCATTCCATTCGTGTATGAGATTCATTCTTACCTAAGATGAAAAGGGGAATGTATTGCACCACTGGAAGCAATGCGACTGTTGTTGGGTGCGTAATTACTAAAGGACGCTACGACATCAAGGCACTCTCAGACTCTCAAAGAATGCAAGTGCGTAATCACTAAGGACGCTACGGCATCAAGGCACTCTCAGTCTCTCTCTCTCAAAGAATGTCTTTGGTTAACTGAAGACTCAGCAATGTGTCATACCATTCGTGTATGAGGCTCATTCTTACCTATATAAGATGAAAGTGGTAATGTATTGGTACCATTGGGTACCTATAAGGCCTAATCCGTTTTTGTGAATGCGCTGTTAACGTCCTTCATGCATATTTGTATTTTAGGGCCAAGGGAGAGAGATGACTCAAAGTTGGGTTTTATCATTGGCTGTATTGCTGCTGCAGTGGGTACGGCGATTGTTGTTACCATCGTGACACTACTATACATGCGCAGAAAGCGATGCAAGCAGGCCGCATCAAACGTAAGTCAGACTTTATTATCTTCTGTCTAACCTAACACTAAACTACCTTAACTATATTGCGAAGTTTTGAACTATTCTCACTTTTTATTATTATTATTTATTATTTAAAATTATTTGAAAACGGTAGCCCTTCAGCGGCAAAGAAAAACTGATTTTCAAGGGGAGTATTTCAACTTGAGTTCTAGTGAGGGCGAATCTTACTATTGTCCCGTGTGTTAATATACGGGGTAAATGAAATGCTTGTGTGCGATTGAGGCAAACGTAAAGTACTTTCTCACACGTCATACCTGAAGCAAAATTCTGGTATTTTAGGAATTGCATCTAGGCTCCAGAATCGAAGAGCGCGTATCACATAACTCAAACGACTGAAAATGATTTGCGTCTTATGCAAACGAGTTCTCCAAATTTTATAAAAGCCAATAGAAAACAATATGATACGGTATAAGCAATATAAAAACCGTCCTTTATCCTTGACACAGACCCTTCACCTCCACGTGACGTCATATGAAACCATTGAGAATTCATCCAAGCTTTCTCGATCGACTCTCGTTCTTGTTTCCTACACGTGCAACCTACACGACGACGAATCACGACAACGAAGACGTACTTGAGAATTTTTGCTTGTCTTGATTGCTAGTGATGTTACCGCTTTTTGTTTTTCAATTTACTATTCTACTTTTGATCTTTCGTATGTTTGAAATAAAATTCGAACTAATTATATTATTTAATTTTTAAGAAAAGTCTAAATTTGGAAATTTGACTGATGAAAGCGGATTGTGAATATATATTAAATAAATTAGTATAGCTCGCTAATACATACATTCTGTCATTTCTGTGCTTTCCCAGTACTATAGTTAGTAACGGTCTACGGTCAAATTTTCCAGTTTTAAAATTTTCCAGCATTGTTTATCTGCATGGGAACCGTATGCAAGAGCTGCAAACACGCTGTTTTCGTATTGCCATTTAATTCCCACTTATAGTCCAGTCCCTTAAAGTGGCTTGATACAGCTGTCAAAACCCTCAGGTGTATGTATAATAGTTTGACGGTTTTAAACATCGTATATATTTATGTTTCATGCAGCAGATATCAGGATACATACGAAAATCAATCTAAAATAATTTTTCATGTACTATTTTACTTACATACAACATGGACCAACAATAAGCAAAATATGCAATGCCATTTTTTAAAAAAACGCACAAATGTCGTTTTCTCCGTTTTGTACAATGGCGCGAAATGGCTTGAGCAAGCCATATATATATATATATTCATTGGTAATGATAATTCACTGCGCTAATGGGTAAGTTGTGGTATTACTACCGCCTCATCCTGATTGGTGGCACTGGCAACCCCTCTGATTTCATATTTTTAGGCACTCCTTCTGATACTAATCAGCATGAAGACTAAATTAACCAATTTCCACAAGGGTGCCTGACTTTATCATATCTAGTCCGACGACTTTTCCTCAAGCGATTGGACTATACAGTACTCTTCATATTTTAGAGAGAGAAGAATAGATTGCCCTTTCATGTCAGGGAAATGTCAGTTGGAGCAGCCACCAATCTTGGTGCTGACGAGCTGGGTGATAATATTGGTGATGTTAGGCATGAACACAGGGAGGTAGGAATGATTTATTTTTGTATCTCGGATAATAATACGATTTTTGACGCTGGCTTGTACACAGGAAAAATTTTTCCATTAATGGGTTTTTGAATGGTTTTTAAAGATTTGCCATGTATGCTATCAATGAAAAAACTGAACTCTTACCATTATTGGGTATTATAGGATGATCTACCATATGGTAAATTGGTAAAAACCATGATTTAATTTAACATTTACTATTAATGGTATTTTCCCGGTAAATATTAAACATAGTTTTTACTAATTTACCATATGGGAAATCTATAATAACCAATAATGGTAGTGTTCAATTTTTACGTTCAAAAATCCATTAATGGAATTTTTTTCCTGTGGCGACCGCCGGATTTTTACTTCAATTTGTTTAGATTTGAAATCGGAATTACCCCTTTATATTATAGAGGTAGCGTCGCTCTTTGGCTCCCTAACTTTTGCAACCATGCGGTCAGATACGCTACAAAGAAGTACAAGAAGATAAATATTAAATACAAGAAGACTAAACTTGGATATATCTTAGTAAAGAAACACTGTAGATGCATGGCTGTCAAATCAAAACATTTTGCATTTGTGTGCTTTTGTTTAAAGCCTGGTTCCATTAAATCGTAAATATCGCGATTGTGGCGTCGCAAAAGTTGCAGAAATAGCTGGTTGCAATTTCTGCGACCGCGATTTGTCCGATTTTTGCGATTGGGCGACGTTTGCGATTCTTGCGATTTAATGAAAACCTGGCTTAATTGTCCAGATCCAGACGTCTAAGACATTTTCTAACATATAAATACGGCCATTTTTTTGTTTCTCAGAAACAAAATAATTTTATTTATCACCATGCAAACTTATTGCAAATTAGAAACTATTTCTAATTCCTGACGTAAAATAAAAAAACGTAAAATTGCTTAAATTAATGGACAAATTTACTCAATTTTTTGAGAAAAGTAAATGAGTACAATCAAAAACTGATTAACTTTGCTCATAAATCAGTAATTTCACTAAATATTTTGAGTCACTGTGGGTGCATTACACGTAAATTATTCAATATATAATTATAGGTGTTTGGAGGAACCCTGGGTGAATTTACATGATCTTTGTTTTCATAGGAAGACGAAATCGATCATATTTCTGCTTCGAGAAATTTATCGCTAAGAAGTGCTCTTCCACCTCGCACCTCATCTCGTTGGCCAGAGGTAGGGGATAGGCCCGCTAGTCCATCGCTTGGTGGCACGGCGCGAAGGATGGGTGAACCTGGTTCTCCTGGTTTCCACAACAGTGTAGCCGAAGAAGAAGGCTCCATTTCAATGTCGGAGCTGAAAGAACGTCGCAGTAGAAGTAATATATATATATATTGTAAATAATATTTCACATTATTGTTGATAGAAATATGGTTTGTAAAACCTGCAAGCTTTAAACGGTTAGTAATTGATTAAGCATGTACCTGATCTACTGATGTTGAAAATGAGAGTGATTAATATACACCGCCTGCACAGGCAAATATCATTGATAAATTGCTATAAAGTCTGCTTCACTCAATGCACCATTGAAATCATGCGTCAATGCATGTAGCATTGAAATCATGCATCAAATCAAGTATCGATAGCTTTGATGACTAGACCAATTTTAATAATTGTCAAAATTCGTCTCTGAGATTAAATTTTTGATGCGTACTAATAATTTGTTAGGCAAACCAATGATAAAAATATGGAATGCTTGTACTGTAGCTATTGAATATTTTTCGGGATACCCTGCATATAATTTACAGTACGTTTCCATAAAAGTAAAAAACATAGAACAATGATTTCGTCCACCTTCCAAACCAAGTTTAGTTTCTATATAGCTATAGCTTCAGCATGCTCCATTTCGGTGCGCATGGAGGGCATCTTAACAAAAATAATTTCATTGGAATCTCAGTACTTAACCTCATCTGCCTTAATTTGTGTTAAATCTCATTGGATTGCTCTAAACTCACCTATTAACTATATATTAATGATTTAAATAACTTACTTAAGGGATTGTGGGCATCTACACTCGATATAACCAATGGATGATGCCATGCAGCTATAGACTAAATTTTGATGTAGGCAAAAAGAACAAAATCCAACACCACAGCTAGAAAGAGCATGTTAAAAGTAGTAAAATTGCGAAGTCTGGTTGCGAAATGTTGTAAAATGAGGAAAATATAACCTTACGAAATTTGCAAATTTTGTATTAGTTTGTATTACGCACGGGAAAATGCAACACTTTCGGTGGTGCATTTTCCAGCTCGTAATACAAATTAATACAAAATTTGCAAATTTCACAGGGCTATATTTTCCGGATATTACAACATTTCGCGGCCAAATTTTGCAATTTTACTATTTTTAACATGCTCTTTCTAGCTGTGGTGTTGGATTTTGTTCTTTTTGCCGAGATGAAAATTTAGTCTATACTGTAGCTGGCATCATCCATCGTATAGAAGGGTTTTGTAGATGGAAATTTCAAGTGTGCATTTTATTCACTTATTAGACCTAGAAGCAGTTACAGGACCGCAGGTTTGATTCCTGCCAGAGGACCTATATAGTTCCATTTTTTGCAACCGCTCGCGGTTAGGTCTAATAAATGTGTAGTTGAAGGATCTTGTAGATGCAAATTATCCAGTGGAAATTTATATACATGTGTTAGACCTATACGAAAATCCCATCCACAAAACCTTTTTACCTAATTTAGGCACATTGGAATCAACGATGAATTTATTTAAAAAATACATAGATGTTTTTAATTATTATATGTGTTTTATGAATTTTGATGTTTCTCTCATTCCAGCTGTGTCAAAGCGTCCAGGCCTGGTGAAGAAAATCATTACCACGGGAGGAGGTGAAATAAAGATTGAAGACATCACACTTAGCGTCGGAGCTGGATGTCTGGATAAGGATATAGAAATCACTTTGATAAAAGATGACCAAAATTTTGCCTTCAAATCACTGCACGATTTAGGCCTAGTCGATGCAGCACCGCGAGTTGTTGAATTCCTCCCAGATGGCTTGAAATTCTCGAAACCAGCAGATCTTACGATCAGATTTGAGAACCCGATCTCCGATTCTGAACTTTTCATCCTGCATGGTTCTTACAATCGCGACTACCAGAGGACCGTTTGGGAACTGGTGACAAATGATATCGAGGACAACAAAGCGGAGGGGGTTGTTAATATGAAAATTAACGGTTTCTGTTTCTATAGCTACGTTGTGGCAAGACGTTGGAAGATAGCCCGGATATTAAGTCACCTCAATAATTCATTTTCCTGCCGTGCATATGCCCTCTATCGCAGACTACCGTCACTGGATACTATAGATATTTCGGTTGTCTTTGTAAGTAAATTTGTTGATGACGATAGAGAAGAAGACATTAAACAATTGAGAGATCATTTCAAAGATGGCTACGTTGTAGGAGACAAAGGGAAATTGAAACGTGTCCACACAGATCGTCGTCTCGAAATGAGTTTACAATTCCCAGAAGTCCCAAGCACACCTATTTCGTTCAAAGTAGATAAGGCTGAACTGGATGATGACGGTTTTGTTGTCGATCTGTTTAAAAGAGTCGCAGTAAACAGGCCAGCAAGTGGAATGGTGAAGATAAGCGAAGTACATCGAAGTGTCGAAAATAAATTATTGTGGTTGTTGGATGTTCGTGAGGTCATTCAAGAACAGATTGATGAAGTTGAACGAGTGGCTCCTTTAGGTACGTTTTACTTCTTTCCGATTTAAAAAGTCGAGTAAACAACTGTATAAGTAGAAGTTTATTCGATACGATATCCTTATATAATTATGTAATAATGTTCAGTTGTATTGTGTTGTGTTGTGTTGTGTTGTGTTGTGTTGTGTTGTGCTGTTCTGTGCTGCGCCGTGTTGTGTTGTGTTGTGTTGTGTTATGCTGTGCTGTGCTGCGCTGTGTTGTGTTGTGCCAATAATAATAAGAAAGCTTGCTTCGAATTGATAGAGATACAACTGCCTGAAAAATACAAGGCGCTTCGCTTCGTCGGGAAGTTAGTTTAGCGGGGATCGGGAGAAATCTATGAGCTTTTACACTAGTGATTGTAATATAGCATTTGTAAATTCTGAACGCTGATTGGCTGAGGGCCGTGTTGATATAACTCAATGTCAACACGGGAAATTTTCCGCCGCTTGTAAACACGGAAATTTTTCTTATCCTTCGGGCTTTTGACATTGCTATATTATAAAAAAAATATAAAACATTTTTTCCGTGTTGATATATAGTTATATCAACACTCGTGGAAGTTGGGAAAACTCGAAATTGTATGAAAACACTCCGCCCTTCGGGCGTCGTGTTTCCATACAATTTCTCGTTTTCCTAATTCCACTCGTGTTGATATAACTGTATATCAACACGGAAAATGTTTTATATTTGTTAAATATAAAAGTGATCACGTAACAAAAAACCCAATCAGACGGATTTAGTCAAAACAAAGTGTAAACACATTTACATATGTAATATATTAATACAAACATAGAGAAGACTAAAAAAATACAAAAAACATGGAAAATATACGAATCAAGTATGGAATAAGGTAAGAATTCAAAGTACTGTCAATGTTTGCTTTTGACATGCAAAGACAGATAAAGGTAAACGTAGTGCCATAGGGGTGGGCAATGTCAGGCTTGGAGATGAGGCGCATTTCATGTCCTTTGCGGCAAGATTGCTTTCAGAAATGGGACAGAGGGATTGAAGTTCTCCTTATATTTTTCAGGCATTCCTATATTGCCGAAGCTTTCTGTGTGATGATATTACTATATTGTTTTATACTTATTATATTCCATGTTGTATTCTATTGGGTTGTATTTGTATCTAAACTAAAGTACTCTTTTTGTATGCTTTTGTGCTCTATTGATGTTCTATTTCATTCCAGTACTGACAGCTGTTCTATTTCATTTTAGACTCGGAACCAGACCCCGAACCACAAGGTATATACTTGTTCAAAGTTATTATCTGAGATATTTGTTACTTCTCTGGTTTTGTGCTGTAAGCTGACGCACAGCTCCTATAGGCCTTATACGCATAGATGAGTGATAGCGATTGGCCATCATGCATGGAATAAACAGCTTCGAATACTTGCACGAGTTCTTTGCAGATTCAGTGATAGCAATGACAATGTTGAAGATTGTTTTGCATGTTTTGTGCAAATCCAAGTTCATCTATTGCCAACAGGAATTATTCTAAGGAAATTGTTCAACCCTAAGAACTTAAGATATCTCAAAACATAAGTGAAACATCTATTCGACTACATTGAGTATCTTATTTACAGC